CTGTCAATTTAGTTACTTAAGAAAATAAAAATCTATGCACAAGTTTATAAGTGAAATTTCCATTGCACAATAAAAAAGAGAAGAGGAAAAATTTTACCAGAAAGATCACTTGATGTCCTGTATCAGATGTGGTCACATCCTTCAACACTGTTTAGAATTTAACTTAAATGTGAGTTTAACAGTTTTCAAATTTGGAGACTTTTTTTCTTAGGCATCAGGAAGTTCATTCACATGATACTCTGACTTTTTCATCACTGACATTTCATATTTTTAAATGGTAGGGCAAAAATAATCATGTGAAAAGCTACAAGTTATACAATTTATGGGGATTGGGAAAGTTCAGTTCATTGTAGTCCTTTCAAGATTGATTTTCACAACCGATTTGATCCTAGAAGGGTCTGGGAATAGGAACTGTCAAAGTAAATTAGGGAAACTGTCTTTAGCTCTGTAGATTAATTAGGCAACAAGGATATCAAAACATCTTGCAACAGAGCTGAGTTCTTTGGGGAGAGTAGAAGAGGGGTTGCAAAGGCTTTTGTATGACAGAATCGCTGTCCCTTTGGGAGGGACCACTAGGAGGCTTGGCTCTCAGCTCCCCCCATCCCTCTCAACCAGGCTTGCAGACAGTTGGGGTCCTTCTTTCTTCAACTGAGGAGTCTTACAAGAAGGTGAGGAAGACATCTATTGCCTGCCCACAGAGATAGCGCTTTCTGCTTCCTCCTCTGCCACATGGGTTCCCTGGTGGATTACCAAATGCAGGGAGAGAGAGAGGAAGATGCTCCAGGCTCATCTTCCCTGGAGATCCAGCATGAATCACTCAGGGCTCAGTCACTGGGGCAGCCCATCTGTGTGCTGCCGGGCAGAGGACCTTTTACAAGCAAGGGTGTCCAAACTGCGGCCCAGTATGGCTATGAATGTGGCCCAACACAAAATCATTCATTTACTGAAAACCTCTACTTTGCTCATCGGTTTTCATTAGTGTTTGTGTATTTAATGTGTGGCCCAAGACAATCGACTCTTCCTCTTCCAGTGTGACCCAGAGATGCCAAAAGTTTGGACGCCCCTTACAGGAAGTATACAACTAATTAGCCATACACACGTGTGGGAGGGGCTGGGAAAGATAAGGTAAGAAAGCCGAGTTGGAGGATGAGGAGTCAGCAAATGGCCTGTGGGCTCTCGCCTCTACGCCTCCTATGGGTCCATAGCTGGCATCTGGCAGGGGCTCCGAGCTGCTGCTGGTCAGCAGGGCCATGGCGTGGAAGAACCAGCTGCAGAACAATGGCAAGCTTTGTCCATCTGCGACCGCACATGACCCTGAAAGACCATCAGAGAGTAATGGCCACTGCCTCTCTTCTGCCTTTCAAATCTCACACGGGTTCTGCTTCTGACCGACTGTACAAACTGATTCAGGCGAGGAAGGGGATTTGAGGAAACCAAGTCCCCGGCTGTGGTAAATTGACACAGCACCGCACAGCACAGAGTCTGTACACTTGGCCAAGTGGAAACATGAAATACACAGGAGGCCCCTCTTGTCAAGCTCTGTATTGCTCCACCAGCTGCTCTGTTCACTGGTCTCTGTGCTGTCATTTTTTGTAGTGTGGCACTGAAAACATTGTCTCTCCTCGGTGTCAATGATTATCGATGTATTGACAAACCTCAAAAGAGTCAATAAAAATGACACTCAACACAGTGTCATTCATAAAAGAATATTCTGCCTCTCCAATTGCTCCACCCCACACCACCAGATGGCCAACAGGGACATGCTTGTAGCTTCCATGGCAAAAACCCTGGACTCAGACATCAGTCCAAGCTTTTCCATCACTTACTTGGTCTCCCTGCCTTAGTTTCTGTCTATATAACTTGAGAAAATGGAGGAAATGATCCCTCAGGAACTTTCTGGGTCTAGAATTCTATAATTCTGCATCTGTGGAAAACGTGATGGGAGTCCCAGAGGTGAGTCTGCCATTTCGCGTAGAGGATGAAAATCTGCCAAAGAAAACCTCCAGCTCGTGGAAAAGAAAAGGCGGTAGTCATCTTTCCTCATTAGCAGCACCAGATTCCGCTACCTCAGCTGGATGCTGTTTAGTCACCTCCAGTAATAGCCTCCATTCCCAGCTCCAAGCTGTTGCCCAGGCTCAGGCTGAAGTCTGTGGTTGTGAGTCACCAACTCGTACAGCCAGGAATTGAAACGAGACCACAAACAGCAATTTGCCTTCCATAACTGGCTTCCTAAGAACCGATTTCTTCCCGAAAGAGAAAATGCCACTTGTGGTTTATGAAAATATTGTGTTATATTTCCTCCTAAACTCATGGCTCCAGAAATGCATTCTAATCCTCCAACTGGAAAAATCCAGATTTTGGTTTTAGATATTAGTATCAGTTGTTGGACTCACAGCTCTGTCATGGGACATTAGGTCACAGTGAATGTCGTGCTGAGCAGACTACAATCGCTGATGCAATGTGCTCCTATCTGGAAAGTCAGATGAAACTACTTGTCCTTTTGGTACTTTCCCTTTGCAAATTTTTTGGCATGGGTTCAAAGGAGGCTTTGCCATAGCAGGATGGCATTCCTCGAAGGCCACTCTCCCCTGCCCACCCACAGGTATGCCCACCTTCCTCCTTGCTTCGCTTCTACTGGGTGTCTAATAAATACTCCTTGATAGTTCTCACCCTGCTGCTACTATGTAAGTCAGGAAGAAGGTGATGCCAGCTCTGTTTTTAGAGTGCCACGCCCAGGTCAGCCTACACTGCCTAATTTCAAAGTTTGAGAGAAAACAGGAAATGCAATTTGCAGACTATAAAAAGAGATTTGGAGAGGATCAAAGGTTGTATAGAAATGGACACCCGAGTGGTGTCTTCTGCAGAGCCAGCACAATGAGCCCCAGGGAAGGGGGGGGGGGCGGTGCATGGACAGTGTCGCTGCCAGAATCTGGCCCAGGGAGCTAAAGGGCAAGGCTGAGGGCGGGAGTGTGAGCCTGGGAATCCGACACGAGTACTTGGCAGGACAGAAGCGCAGAAGAGAACGAGGGCAGAGGTCAGGGAGAAGTGAGGAGGAGCACGAAGGAGCAGGGCAGGATTTAAAGATGGAGCAAGAAGCCATATAATCAGTGCCCTTGCTTGAAGCCTGAGACACACTGTTTCTTCTAAGATATCCCATGGGAAGGAGAGAGGAGTGGGAAATTTTTCCCAGAAGATCAATTTCCCTTCCAGCTTCCCAGGGGAGGCAACATCTGGGCTGGTCTTGAAGGCAGTTGGGGTGAGTGAGCAACACCACACAGACTAGGAAAGACCGGGAAGCCAGACCACGGAGCTCCAGCCTGGCCTGCGTACTAGTTACGTCATGTTAGGCCTAGCTGTGCCTCGGTTTTCTCCTATGTAAAGTTCATTCATTCAACATATCTTTGCTGAGCACGGCAATGTGCTAGGGAGCACTCTGGTGAATAAAACAGACAGAAACCCCAGCTCACTGAAGTTTATCTTTTTTTTTTTAATGCTCATTTGAGGACATTTTTATTAATTGTAGAGACAGTGAGAGAGATATTGATGTAAGAGAGAAACATTGATTGGTTTTCTCCTGTACACAGCCCAACTGGAGATCAAACCAGAAACCTAGGTACGTGTCCTGGCTGGGGGTTGAACTATCGGCCTTTTGATGCACAGGACAACGTTCCAACCAACTGAGCCGCCCAGCAAGGGCCCTGAAGCTTCCCTTTTCATGGGTGAGAACAACAGTTATTGTTAGGGGGCTCTCATGAGGCTGAGGGAGCACACACACGTCAAGCACATGAAACAGTGACAGCATGTAAGGGATGCTCAACATGTGATTATGATTGTTGTTGGTTGTTGTTGCGTGGGGTGAGGAAAGTGAGGGTGTCGCAGTCAGAAGTGGGAAAGGAGGTGGTGAATGTGGAAACAGCAAGAAGTTAATTACACTCATCTTAGTGGGCAGCTGGTAGAAACATAAACTTGGCGAGTTGATTTAGAAATACTGTTCCTGGCCCCTCGCTGCTTCCTACGTATCTTCAGGGACAGCAGGGCTCGGGCTCTGGAATTGGAATTTCAGCTCAGTGACTCACTACCTTGCTCACTCTGTGACCTTGAGCAAGTAACTGGAGGTCTCTGTGCTTCTGCTCCTCATCTGTGAAACGATGACAACAAGGTATGTTTTACACAGTCCATGGAGGGTCAATCGAGCTAACACTTATTAAATTCTTAAACACTTGCTGTCCTAATCCAGAAAACACTTAACAAATCTAAGCCACAATTAGTCATTCTTCTTATTATTATTTCTATCATCTTCCTCAACTCTCCAGCTTACCCATATGTACTTCGGTAATATTTTATTCATGTTCTTTTCTTTCCTTCTGTGTCCATTATAAAACTCTCCAAGAAACTCTGCCTTTTTTCTGCATTCGTTGAAAACTTCCCATTGTGAATGATGACACTTGAGATGTGACACTTTTTGTGAGGCACCCGACCTGTACTGGGCAGCCCGAGCTCACCAGGACAGCCGCAGCCGCGGCTGCTCTCGCTTCGCATCCTTTTCTCTTCTTCAGAAGAGCAGCTCTACACACACAGGCCGGCCTCCTAAGCCAGTGCCCGCACTTGTCTTAGTGCTGGCACCTTCCCCCGATATCTCCTCTTCTCGATTTCTCTCCTGTTCGTTTGTTGTTTGTTTTTATGAGGACAAACCTATCATTTCTCCCAAACCCATGTATTTTTATCTGATTACTTATATTGCTTATGTGGCTTTTGTAACATTTCTAGTATTTTATTTAGATATCTGACAAATACCTATATTGAATGCCTATTTGTTTTAGGCATGCTACTTAGCACCACCAGTGAACAAGGCAAAGACCTGCCCTTACAAGCCTCCACACAAGCAAGCAAATAAAGAGCAGAACTTTAGATAGCAATGGGTGCTACATGAATGCAGCGCAGGGGAGCAGGGTTGCCAGGGGAAGAGCGCTGCTTTGGGTGGTGTCCAGGGAAGGCCTGGCTGACATCGAAGCAGGGAACGGAATGTAGACAGGGAGCCAGCCAGGTAGGAGCACGGAAGGACTTTCCCCACAGGGGAAGCAACAAGAGGGGAAGCCTTGAGGCAGGTGGGGTCTGGACCAAAGCGAATAGAACAGTGTGATTAAGAGCAGTAAGTCAGTAGGAAAAGGGTGAGAGGCAGGGCAGGGCGGGTGGTAGAGGCCTCTCTCGTGCAGGGCCGTACTGGTGTGCCTTTTCTCGCCGAGGGATGTTAGTTCAGGGGTGCAAGCCATTTCCTGAGATGCTTAAGCCCTACCTCATTCTCTACCCAGACCCACTGTGTCCAGAGAAAGAAGGGTCATTTCTATACCCAGGCCTCAGAGCCCCTGCTATGGACAGTGAGGCCGGCTAGAGTTGTGCGTATGCCAGGTTGGCTGGGGAACAGGAGGAGGGGGAGCCATGGGTTAGAGATCAGCAATGGCCACTAAAAATGACAGGGCCCCAGCAAGCCAAGATAGAATACATTTATCGTAATATTAGCTACTGTGCCCTTAATCTGTGTCAAAGGCCTCTATATACACAATGCCATTTAAACTTGACCATGACCTTGTGATCTAGGCATTAATATCTTATTTTACACAGGAAGAAACAGACACAACTAATTTAAGTAGTTTGTCCATGGTCACCCCATTAGTGGTGAAGTTAGGATTTTAATTCACATCAATTTGGCTCCAAAATCCAGACTTTTAACCAAACACTATTACCATCCCTAGAAATTCAAAGGTTTAACACAGGGCCACCAGAAAGAGAGGAGGAGCAGCAGGGAAGCAGCAAAGACATTTAACAGGAAGAATTCCTCAGTTCCTATGGCCTGAGAATGTTTTGACAACAGAAATAAATATTATTGCTTATAGTCTATTTGTTTTTCCTCCTTAGCATAAATAAGTAATCAAATGAGAACTGATTTGAGAGTATAAAGACCAAATTCGAGAGTTTTTATTTTAAAACCAGCCCAGAGTTCTTTAAGTGTTTTTCTTACAAAAATATTGCTTTTCTTTAGTTTTGAAACCACAGAGAAGGAAAAGAAGAAAATTAAAATCATGTAGAAAATACTCATGTGGTTTAAGTCCCAACATGACTGTTTAGAATCTTCTGGGTCTTTAATGTAGATTCTTAGGGAAACGGGATCCCGGGTGTCCTTTGAGCCAATCACCTGTAATGGGGATGGTTAGGGGCCTATAAGAATTGCAGGGACCCCCTGTGGGTTTTTGGGGAGGTCATCAAGGACCCCAGGGAAGTCTACTCAGCCTGAGTTGGGAAGGTTCTCCCCGAAGGCAGCGTGGACGGATGGAAGGAGGGATGGGAGTGCAGCAGGACCAGAGATGGAAAGATGGGCTGGGGGCCGTTGTAGTGACCTAGGGAAGCAGAGACAGGCTCCCGGACTGAGCGGTGGCTATGGACTGGAGAGCTGAAGAAGGGTCTCAGAGAGAGTTAGGAGGTAGAAACAACTGTCTCTGATGACCTATGCGATATGGGAGATAAGAGGATTGGAGAACCTGTTAACAAGATCATAATTTTTGAGGTGCCTGTGGGACATCTAAGCAGACATGTCCAGAGGCCGGGTGAATGGATTTAGAGCTTTGGAGGGTGACCTAGGGTGGACTGACGTGGTGGCTACAGCCATGGGTGAGGATACGGTGATTGGGGAGAATGTGTGCAGACGAGCGCAGCAAGCAGGCTGAGGGATCTCTGCCTGGCAGCCTCCATTTTCCCAGTAACTAGACAGACCAGGTCATCTGCTGAGAAGGTGGGAGGAAGTGAGATAGGACTGGAGGAGCAAGTGTGAATTGGGGTCATGTAGAGGCAGGAATGCAGGAGGAGGTGGTGACGTCAGTCTGAGCAAAGGAAATTCTCTATAAAACTCAACAGCCATGGCAGAAGAGAAAGACTCCACACGACTTCGTCGATCTGATTTGTGGATTTTGCTGAGTGTGGGAAACAGAATGTCAAAAGGGAAAAAGAATGAAGGTAGGGAAGGAGTGATGGACATGGAGAACATGGAGTAGGAAGTGGGAAAAGAGAGGTGGCAGAAAAGCAGGGGGAGCACTCATATGATTGAAAAGCCAGGTGTAGTAGCTTCTCTGCCCAGGCGTAATGGTTTTGCAACAGCTGACAAAGCCTTGACTCTTCTGGGCTTTAGCTTTGTCACTGCGTGAGGCTTAGATAGTCCAACACTCAGCTAAGGGTTCTCCTCCCCACCAGGGAAATAATAAAATAATAATCTAATAATAAATATTTCTGAGCTCTTCAGAATATTTTTGCTAGGGGCTTCTCATATTTTACATCATCTAATTTCCATGACAATCTTGTCCTTACATCTGGCATTACCCTCATTTCCAGAGGACATTTGCACTCAGAGTTAAATTAACTCCAACATCACGTGAGCTTAGATGATTCCTTAAAATAGCCCCTTTCCCCAAATCAACTCAAAATAAGGTATTTACTTCATCCACTGAACACTGTGCCAGAGTTCCTGACAGCTGTGTGTATCTCCAAACAACCCAGACCAGTTCAAGTAGTCTCAAAGAACACAAATTTCATTTCCATTAATTAAGGAAAGCAGAAGAGAATTGGTCCTTAACCCCATGGGGACAGCACGAGAAGGGACAAGATGGGAGCACCATCAAGGCACTGAGAATCCCCCAGGACTGCAGATTCTTGACTGAGGCGTATGTGGCAGGAAAGCCTGGAACACCTAAGCTCTTGAATCCTTTGATCAGTGACTTTTCTGAAAACTGTTCCTCCCTCCACCTGCCTGGCACATGGAGGACTGAGAAATCTTATCAAAGGCCTGTCAGAAAAGCTCCATGCCGCGGAGCATCTGCTTCTGGCATGCAGGAGATTACACAGGAGTGATCTTGGCCGGGGGACCCAGCCAGCTCCAGGCTCCGCCAGGGAGACAGCGCTTCAAAAGGGAGGCGCTCAATTAAGGAAACAGCCCTTCCTGGTGCAGGCTTTGAATCTCATTTCCAGCGCAGGCTCCTCTGGTTAGTGATAAGCCAAGCACAAGAGCCTGCTTGTCGCCTGAATGGCTTCCTTCCTGAGGGAGGAGAAAAAAAAGGAAAGAACAAAGATTAGCACAAGCTATCAACCTCCTCATTTAGTTTCCTCTCTGAAAAAAAAAATAATAACAAGAAAGAACCCTTTACCATCAGAGGCTATTTAGATTTCTCCTCTTGCTCTGCCCCATTCAGGTTGTGTTCTATTTTTTTATGATTGACCCTCTGTATTGTGGGGCATTGTGTCCTTTGTCTATGGAAGACACTTAATGGATTAAACCTGAAAAAAGCCAGTGGTAATCAGACATCCACCAGACAGGTCTATTTACATGCAGTAACTCCTGCAGTTTCTGAAAGGCACAGAATTAAAAGAAAAAATTGCTGGAAAATACAATCATTAGAGTCCTTTGTCTCCCTTGGCTCCACCTCTTCACACCCCTCCATCTGCTCAGGGGGAGGGGAAGGCTCAGTGTTCAGTGGGATTGACTTTAGGAGGTTGGGCGCAGTTTGGGATGAAAAAGACAATCAGGACCATTGAAAAGTGTGGCCTCCTGGTTCTTACTGTTTTCCACCTGCTGCTGCTGCATCCAGGGGCCCTTTCCTTCAGAACTCACAAAACTGTCTTGAACAATATGATTCAGATCAACTTCTACAAATCTATACAAAAAGCAAGACGGCCTGATTTGAAATTTCAGATTCAATCCTGTACTTAAAATCAGTGTAGTTCGTGGCCGGAGAGTAACTGACAGGGCACATCTGGAATTGTATGGAAGATTTGCACCTGTGAGTCTTTTATTGAAAGGACCATGTTATCATTTGTAGTGTTTTAAAGTCCACACACTGAGGATCCCATTTTTATGCTTTCAGTGAGCTTTGCGAGCAAATTCTTGCTTTCTCCTCTTGAATTCGGACCTCCACATTCTACCCATTGAAGCTCCTGTTTCTCGTACCTTTGCACTGCGGGACTTGCGCTGCAGTCCTCACAGCCTCTCTTAAACCATAAGCCCGCTGGGAGTTACACCATCAGCTCCCCTGGTTCTCAGACCTTTGGCCTTGAACCAACTTTCCTGGTTCTCCAGCTAGCAAACAGCAGACTGTGGGGCTTTTCTAAGTCTTTCTGTCTGTCTGTCTATCTATCTATCTATCTATCTATTTTACCTATCTGTCTAATCTATCTATCTATCCTCTATCATCTTCATCTATTCTGTTTCTACAAAACCTAATACAGCAGACCTATCTGAAATAGGACAGAAAGTTATACCATCAGATGTGGATGGGTGTGGCTTCACAGTCCCCCATTCACATTGGCACTGAACATCACAGTTAAGTGAATTTTTTCTCAGCCTTGAATCCTGGGGCAAGCTTTCCCTCCTTTGAGATATGTCTTTCAAGGTATGCATTTATAATGGTACGCATTCATCAAAATTGCACATTTGATCCAATGTATAACCATTTTCATTAAATTCTGCTTGCTGGAAATTTTTCTGCACCTTTTTCATATACCCAACAGCTGAAGGATTTGAAAACTGGAGAGATGTTTGAAGTCACTACACTCAGCATTAATAGTATGAAAAGAGTCACTTCTCTAGGACATGGTGATTGGAGATTTTCTATTGAGGTGTTTGTTGTATAGATATATTGTGCTGTCTCTTCGATTAGGAGAAATGGTGTTCTTGATTGATATTTTCACTCTTTGGTCTTTAATCCATATGTCTACCTTTCCACTTCCTCTATGTGTTTAGGCCTTGTTCTTGTTGACTCCACACTACTCAAAGTTGCTCCAACAAGGGACTTTTTAAAACTTTATTTTTGTTGCATTGTCTGTCATGGTCTGCACTGAGGATTCCTTGCTCGAGACATCACATAAAGACCATCCTTGCTTTGCATGACACTGCGTTAAGTGCATAAAACTCATGCGCATCAGGACTGTGTCCTTGCTGAGATATGTGTTATCACAGAACCACTCAAAAGAAGCACGTGGTTCCTTCCTACGTGCATACATTTTGGTTAACTCCATGGTGTGCGAAGCAAAGACTGACTGTATTCTTTCACTTAAGAAATTATTTCGAGCTTCTTCTCAATATTCAAATACCTCTCCTTTTGTATGTATTGGTTGGTGTTTTTCAGTGAGGACACTTGGATATGTTGGAACATTGAATGAGTGTTGTCTACTGTGGAAAAGTTCACAAAGGGAAAGAATAGCCAAATGCAGCCTTGCAGGATAATACGCTGTGAAGTGCTGGTAGGTGCTGTGTGCTTGTTTGGACTTTGTGTGTTCTAATGAGATTCAGGTGCAGTTTTCAGCACTGGGCATAAGCAAGGATAGAATTTGTGTCATGCTCAAGTTATCCCCTGAAGTATCAATCCTGTTGGAACAAATTCACAATTTCAAAATGAATGTTAGGGCAGAACTGACTCTATTGAGATACTTATTCTCATTCAAGCAGAGATCTTGAATAGACATTTACCTAGTGTTTAAGGAAAATATAAAAGTTGAATATATAAATTAAAGAGCAATCCGTTTATACATATATTTAATATTTAAATCCATGAGGCCATCCAGGGATTGAGTATCTACAGAAAAAGACTCAGAATGAGGTACCCCACCATTTAGGGGTTAAGTGAGGAGCAATTAATGAAGGAGCCAAATAAAGAGCAGTTTGTGATGTAGAAATAAAACTGAAGATTGTTCTAGAAACAAAGGGGAGAATGTGTTTTCAGCAGAAAGAAATAATCAGCTTTGTTCAGTTTTGCTGGTAAATTAAACAAGTTGAGGACTGGCAGTTTATGATCGTCAGAGTGGTCTGTGCAGAAGCCTGATCGGGGGTTCAAGGGAGAATGAAAGGAGAGGAATTGGAGACAAGTACAGAAGCCTCCGTCAAGAGTTTTGCTCCATTAAGAAGAGCAGAGAATTGAGGCAATAACTGGTATGGGATATGAGGTCAAAGAGGTTTTTGGAGATTTTTTTCAAAGATAAGAAAATTACACCAGACTTGTATACTAATGGAAATAATAAGGGCTAAGGGGAAAATTCATGATACCATAAGGAGAGAAAATACCATATTTTTCGGACTATAAGACACACCTTCCTCCCTCCCCAAATTTGGGAGGAATAATGGTTGTTAACGCTGCTGTTGAGTTCTGTTTATGTTCACATTGGTGAAATATTATGTTATTTATGTTATTAAATATTTTACCACATTTTTTGCTTTAAAAATTTTCCCCTATTTTCCTCCTCTAAAACCTAGGTGTGTCTTATGGTCCCCAAACTATGGCAATTGATGGAGGGAAGTCCTTCAATATGTGAGAGGAGATGGATGGGTTCCAGGGCTCTGCTGCAGATGGGGTGCGAACCCTGGTGACGAGAGGGTAGGCAGAGGACGTGGGTGCAGGAACAGGTGTGCATGTGAGATGGTTGGCGCTCTCCTCATAGCTTCTTTCCCCCCAGTGAAATGAGAAGCAAGCTCATGAACTGAGTAAAGATGGTGTTGGGGCGGTGAACTAAGGACAGCTGCGAACCAAGGACAACAGTTTTCTAAGAGGTGGGAACAAACTCAGGGTATGTAGCAAGGCGGCCAGGCAGCAATAAGTGGCCCAGTGGAGGTCAGAGTTCATGAAAGGACAAATGGAGTAATAATCATATAAAATGCTTGTAATTGCCTAGCACATCATTATATTGCAATTCTTGGTAGCCATTTATTTTGTTGTTATCATTATTATTTCATACTCTTTACTCTTAAGAAAATTTAAGCAATCTTAAAAAGGGGGAAGGGGCTTAAAATTGAACTAATGTAGCCTCCTTACAAGAATTCTCCATTATCATTTCCTACTACAAGGCCCGGTTTTAACTAAAACACTTACTTGAGGGCTGCTGGGCCGAGTATGCATGTAGCTCTGGGGGTGTCATTCATATTCATTGTGCCCCAGGTTGAGCTCTCATCACACCCTGTGTCCCTGGTAACAGTAGTCAGTCCCATGGTAGACACGTGACTCAATCAGAATCCTTCCCTGTGTCCCTAGATAGAGTTGAGAGAGACAGAGGAACTTTGTCTGTCCTGGGTTGCCTAAGACGGGAGCTGCTCTATATTATTGTGCACTAGACTCTTTCAACTGATTTCTCATGTGTCTCCCACTAATGCTTCCATCCCTTCTCTAGAACATACTGAGTGATGTCCACAGCACTTTGAATACTCACTGTTTCTAGGGTACTCTCTTGTTTTCTAATCCCCCCACCAGTTGAGTTATATACTTAACCAAAAATTGATTGCATTTGTTCCCAAACCTACTTATGACACCTGATCATTACTATAATTCTAGAACATAATGGATACTGAGTACATCAATGATATACGAGTGTGTAAAAGAACTGTGCTTACAAAAAAGCAAAATCCTTTGGAAAGACTTCATAGAAGCAAAACACTACACAGAATATAGTTGATATCCATTTAAGTGTGGGCAAAAAAACTTTAAAAGATTGAAAGAATCATAAAAGTTTAGATTTAAAAGCATCTTTAAGTTCTCCCACCACTGTGGAGAAACCAAAACTAGAAATGATAGCTAATGCACCCTGGTGTGGTTTATGCGAGAAACACAACTCAGAATTCTAATCTGAGATCACTTGGCCTTTCATCAAAAATTGGCAAATAGGCCCTGGCTGGTGTAGCTCAGTGGATTGAGCATGGGCCTGCGAACCAGACGATTGCAGTTTGATTCCCAGTTGGGGCACATACCTGGGTTTCGGGCCAGTTCCCAACAGGGGACACATGATAGGCAACCATACATTGTTATTTCTCTTCTTCTCTCCTTCCCCTCTAAAAATAAATAAATAAAATCTTTTTAAAAAATTGGTGAATAAATATACATTAAAATGTTTTAGGTTAAGATAGAATGTTTAAGATATACACATGTAATTTTATGACTTTTTTTACTTCAATCAACTTCTTAATTTTCCTACCAACTCTTGCTCCCATAGGATAAGAATAATTGCATAGTAGCTTTTAACAGGTACATGCTCCAAAGTCACTAGGAGGCAAAATATAGGCAGTAGAGGGCCCTACTACATAAGCAGGTGCAAGGGCAGGCATTGACCGAGGAGGAGGGGCTTTGGCCTAGGTCTGATCAGGAGTCCAGCTTAAACTGGTGTTGGGAGGACATTCCTTGATGCCCCTGTAGAGATCTAAATGGAAAAGAAAAGTGGTTGCAGGAATTTATCTTACAGCAAGAAGATAAGTGGTTCCGGGCACGGTGGGTGGAATGGGAGGAGACAAAACAGGCAGATCAGTCGGAGTCAGGATTCACAGTCAGGCAAGCAACCAGCAGGAGTGGAGGTGAGTGCTGAGCCTAGGGCAGAGGCTCTCTGCTGCCTGCTCCATTTTATGCTGCGGATGGAGCCTGGAAACCCTGGGCTTCAACTTGCTATCCACAGCCAGGAGGATATAAAAAAGCCACAAGGTGAATCTTGACCCAGTTTGAGAAAGAGCTAGAGATGCTGAGATTAACTCACACTGTGAACATTTTTGCATTAATTTTCAGTGTGTGGGCTAGTCTTGTTGGACAAAATTATTTGAAGTAGGAAAGCCAAATATTCTCTATTTTGAAAAAATTATTTTAGGCATTATTCATGCTGAGATTTTTCTGTACTTAAAGACAAGTTCCTATATACTCAATGCCAGAAGGCCTATAAAAATGTTAATTCCTCTTCAAGTGACATATCAAAAAAAGCAAACCTCACACCCCCACCGTGTACTTACTCATTGTCTCCACAGACAAATCAAATACAGTCACAGGCTTCAACCTCCTCTTCCCTTTTACTGAAAAGTCAAAGGCTCTTTTTACACTGAAAATTATGGATTCATTACTGATACCATATAAGCATAACTTGAATTTTTTGCTATATTCAAGATTGACTCTCCAGAGTTTTACAAAGTGTTCTTAGACAATTTGACTGCTGCTTTAGTATAATTATGCTTAGCAGTCAACTGCTACTTTTTTGAAGACATCCATTTGCTGTGCATCAGAATTGAATAATAACTAAAATTTTTTTATTTCAACAAACAACTTAGCAGTCACATACGTTCCATTTGCTTGGACAGACACTAATCTGGCTACCCTTCTGTATTATTAATGCTTCTCCAGATATTAGTGTCCTGGCTAATATTTGTTTAAGGCTCAGTGAAATCAGTGTCTTCATTTACAGAAGAAAATGACTATAATAACTACGTAAACAAATGTGGAGGTATAACTAAGTCCCCCTAATGTGGTTTGGATAGGTAGGTTTCCCCACCTATCCAAAAGCAGAGCATTCCTAAGAAGTCTCATAAGCCAAAATAGTGTAGAGCAAAGAAGTAGTTACTATAATTACTATGAAAAAATGTTCCAGCTTTCTCAGACCCGAAACTTAACACATGCACAATGTCTTCCTTTTGTTCACCATTTTCAAAATGCTTAATTTAATTAGGTCCAGTTTTGTTGGACGCTAAGCCTAACACCCTTATGAGCTCTCTCAGGCTTTGCTGATATCTTGAGACACATCTTGCTCACAGATGCATAAAATGAGTCGAGAAAAAGCACAGATGCTTGCAGACGTAGTTCAAAGCTATGGCAGCCCGAGGCTGAGATGTTGGGGGTTGTTTCTGGGAAAGGGGCTTTGTGGAGCACTCTCCCTGCTTGGGATGAGCTATTTTCGCTTTTTGCCTTTTTTCGTAAAAGCAAAAAACCTCCTCAGATTTTTTTTGAAAAAAAATAACCTACTAATGTAGGTCTTTTCTAAGAGCAAAGTGGCATGAGAAATAGGAGAATATCTATTTGGATTCACATCTCAGTGGCAATCTGACCACATAGCTTTGAGGACAATTGACAATTCGATCCCAGAGAGTTTCATAATGATCTTAAAACTGTAATTGAGTGTTTTTGGAACAGTTGTAATCTTTCCTTCATCCACTGGTGTTTTCCTTCAACAATAAACGTATCTGAAAATTTTATGTGGAAGATGTAAAGATGAAATAGTACATGCTTGTGTGGACAGTCAGAACAAAAGCTTGACAGCATGATAGAAACCACGTAGCAACGGGGCGGTCCATCTCTAAACGCTAGTCAGTGGTGTTGGATAGTGAACGTCAACACCACTAGGAATGAAAGGGGGCAGACATCTGCAGAAGTTAATGCACAGGGTCACATCCAGGGCAGGCTAGGACTTGAACAGGGCTCCGAAGACTACATTGGAATCCAGTATGTTACATGCATAGCATGAATAAGGAGAAGGGACAGACATGGAAATGACCATGCCTGTAAGGCAGCATGGACGAGTACAGCCTGCCTGCATGCATGTGCTAAGTGCCTAATATGTTTTTGTTGAATTTAATTAACAGCACATTGAAGCAGACTCTTGAATGCTGGCCTACGGGTTATGGAAAGTCTTTAAAGTCTCTTGCACAGGGGCCCAGCAGGATGAAGTTACATAAAAAATTCCTGCTGTTGTTCAGGGATAACAGAACGAGGGCCTGGATTGGGCCAATCAGTGCATCAGTTTAAGAGAGTGAAAACGTGTATCAAATAGATACATTCAAAGTAAATCCCAACACTTTTCTGTGATGTCTGGAAGACAAATAGACCTCCGTTGTGATACGGTTCTGAACAATGAGAGATAAGTAGAAATTCCGGAGTGGGGCTTCCAGGACAAACTCCTTTAAAGATCAGACTCAATAAGCACGAATCGTTTTTGCCTTTTTTGCTTTTTCGTTAATTTCTGAGCAGTAGAAGTGCTGATTGGAGACATTTAAAAAGGACCAAGAGATTGACTTGATGATTTTGAGCCAACTAACCAACATCAGGAAATATCTACCCATCTCTTACTTGTTACATGAGAAAAATTAATGCTTATTTTGTTAAAGCCACCGTACTTGGTTTTTCTGTTATGTACACCAGTACACCTCTGCTAACTCCTCTCAATTCTCTAATCCCCTCCAGCCTCCATCACCCTGCCTTACCCTGCCCTGACACTTTCTAATCCAGCAAGAGCAAACTACTTTCCATTCCTTCAACAATCCATGGGCCTCTTACATGCTCTGCCTTCCATTTCCTCTCTCTCCCTTTAACTCTTCTCCTACTAATATAGTTAATTCCTATTCAACTTTTATGTCTCCCCATAGATGGCACTTATTCCTTGGAGATGTCACTTTTCTGGCCCCTCCCACCAGCACCAGCACCAGCAGCAGTCCACTTCCTCTCTGGCTTTGAGGCCTACCTATGTAACTGAAAAGCATGTGTTACTTTCCGTAAGAAAAATAACACATCCAAGGGGCCCTTTTGAGAATGCCTTGCTTTTCAGTATGCTCACCATGTGGGAAAAGCTCAGTGAGGTAGCAAGGTATACACATCCCAACCAGCTGGCTAGCTTTGGTCTTCCCCAGAAGGTCTGTCAGTGATCATAGGAAGTGTTTGATTCACTTACTCCCAAGACATGCATTGATGTAGACACCAGCCCGCAGGGTACTTGGCATTATGGATGAGATACGAGACAAATTCACAAGGACTACCGAGTCCTGTGGAGGAAAAAGGATGGCACAGCTCCTCTCTCAAGGGGAGAGTGCTCCGCCCGTTGCCTTGACAGGTTTTTATTGGTTTTCAATTTGCACAGGAATACAGGTAAAGTTCATTAATTATTGTCAGGCAGTAAGGATCAAACAATAGATGACTTACAAGAATACCAGGGCTTATTCTGAGTCAGGGTCAGTTAGCTAAAGGGCTATAAAACTTTGGGAAACAAACTCATTTCATGCTTGGACCCTTATCAGAAAATTGAGGGCATTCTTAGCAAAGCAGGTTTCACAGGGGTTTATGTATTCTTTCTTAGGCCTGATCACCCAGGGAACCCGCCCTTTTCAGGGCAGGCTGCACCACTCTCTGTCATTGTTTCAGGCTTAAGTCAGGCAGGGAAGTAAGGCATCCAAGAGATTAGGAGACTTCTCAAAGACAGAATGAGGACTCAGGCTACATCAGAGCTGAGGGGCAAGGAGCGAGGGTTCATCACCCCCTTTTGCTATAGCCCTCCAAGTCCTTTCCTGGAGCCTCCCCATGATCATGCCTGTCTTAGGTTGTTACCCCCTTGGGGAATCTTACCCGTCATTGGCTAACTGATCATGCATTGAAGCCAGGCAGGGTGAAGAAAAAGGAGCAGAAGCCGGGGAGATAAGCTTTGTCTCCTTACTGGCTTATAGTCCAAAGTCTCCTTACTCGGCTTATAGCCAGCTGAGTTTGCTGGCTCAGCCTTAGCCATGGGGGTGGTTACAGCTTCTGAAACCAGGCAGGGAAGTTCCCAACAATGCATAGAGAACAAAATGTAACAACTTAGTTCTTATCCTTTAGCACATTGGTCCTGATCGATTCAAAACATAGGCTGACTTGGCCAATCCTTTTTTCTTTTCTGTCAATTTATAAGATACCTAGCTCACATTATCACACTGTAATGCAAAATATCCAGCAGGGCCTTGATCAGTGTGGCTCAGTGGGGTGGGCATCATCTTGCAGCTAATGGCTGCCAGTTCAATTCCCAGTCAGGGCACATGCCTGGGTTGTGTATTCAGTCCCTGGTCTGGACACATTCGAGGGGCAACTGATTGATGTTTCTCTCTCACATCAGTGTTTCTCTCTCTCTCTTTCTCTCTCTTCTCTCTAAAAATACACAAAATAAAATCTTTAAAAAACATCCAGCAGAGTCTACCCTCAGTTTATCCTGATTCCAACCTTTATAGCAGTTTTTCTATTTAAAAAAATAGTAACTGTGGGTGAATAATTTTCTCCGACTTATAGTCTTTTTTTTTTTTCTTCCTTCTATCCAAGCAGGTAGTTAGCCCTGCTCTCTTGGTGTCTGGGTAAGTTTGTAGCGGGGCTGAAATTTAAATTAGCATAGAGGAAGGTCTCACTTGGTTTCACAAACACCTGAGTCTTAAGGAAGAGTTCCTTCTTTCTTCTCCCCAGACTAGACGAGGGTATGCTCTTGGCCTACTTGTGAGGAAGAAGAGGAAAAAGTATGAGAGAAAGCAAGTGAAGGTGAGAGACAGAGACAGAGGTGAGGTCGGAGAGAAGAGCCATGAGTAAAGCCACCAACTCTGAGGGAAAGTGGCTGTGTGGTACATCAGAGAGGAGAGTGCAGGGTTCTCCACACAGACATTTCTATGTCCTGAGTGTGTAATGGAAACAGCAGAGAGCCACCAGCCTGCCGGTGATATACAAAGCATGAACTTCACAGTAGCAAAATGTCTGTACAACTAAAAATTGTCCCCCAGTTCTCAGATGTCCTCTGCCCCAGGTCTCAGAAACTTCTCGTGTCCAGGAACTCTGGCGTCCGCCCTAACAGGATTGGGGAGAAAGCCCGGGAAGGTGAAGTTTGCCAGGACTACTGCATTCTCATGTGTCAGCGGTGTCCTGCACAACAGTTCCTCGCCAGGGGCTTCAGGGGTAGGCTGGCAGAAATTCCCTCTGTACTCCTGGCCCTGCACCTAGAAGTAGAGGTTTTTTGTGATTTAACCAACTGGGTGTATTTTGTGATTCTGCTACCTGGAAGAGGTGCTTTGGGAAAAGTAGGTGCTAGTAAAGACTTGAGAATTAACTCCTCCCACCAACCCAGAGTCAGAAGTCAGTGAGTTTTAGATAAGTTCTAGTCCTACACACCTGCATGGTGGAGGAGACCTGTATCCACTATACAGTGTTTGCCAGGCTTACGTGATGGATTGCTAAGAAAATTACAGAAGATAATATATGTAAAAGAAGTGTTTGAAAACTGGGGAAATCACACAAGGTTAAGGCATTATTACCAACATCATTGAGCTTCTGGGTCAGAACACCTCTTACTGTACCTGTGATCAAAGTAAAACATTAAATTTCTCTTGAGCTTTCCTTGGAAGTGAGAAAGGCTAAGCCTACAAAACTGCATGTGCACTTTATTTATGTCATTGCATTTGGCTTCCAGATGATCATTCCAGCTTCTTGGGTCACTTATTGAACAAAGACAATGCATGTTCGATGCACTATTAAATAAACAGTGACCATCGTGACACTAAGATTAAAAATATAAAGTAATAAAACTCAATTAAATTCTTCTCAAAGGACTTTGGAAAGCAAGAATTTCCACAGTGCCAAAATAATTTCCTCTGCTGGAACACAAGACCATGTTTAAAAATGAATATATTGTATAGACTTAAAACTAAGTGGTTTTGCCCTAAAACGCCATAATAAGAGCTGGACCCAGCAACTCTATTTGTAACTGCATCTAATAAAACTTTTATTTTGGCTTCATAAAGTCCTTTCTCTTTTTCCCCTTCCTGTATCATTTTATTTTTTAAGCTATAACTAAAATTATTTAGTAGAAGCATGTTTTAAGACATGTGACTTCCTTTTGAAAGTAGTTCTGCTGTAAAATATCTTTTTGGCATCAATTTCAATGAACCGACTCTCCCCTTATTCTTTTGTTTAAAGATGATGGAAACTGGTAGGAGGGAGAATTGAGGAGCAGAGTGGTTGGAGCCCTGAGGACAGCCTGTGACAGGAGGTCCCAACGGGACAACCCACAGTTACAGGAAGTAAGGACTCTTTCTTCCCAGAGCCTTCTGCAGCTGTGTGGAGCAAGGAGGCCACATTCCTGGAGTGACCTTCACTTAATTACTCTGACCAACAAAGCCCCAAACTTTGTCCTCAAAGTCGTAAGAGTATTTTCTGATTTCAAAAGAAGCTTTGACTCCTCATGTCTTGGAGGCCAGCCACTGCTGTAGGTTCCACCCCCGGAAGCACCCTGTAGCCTCCTCTCCTTGAGTAAACCCTCCCCTTGGGCTCTTCCCAGGCACAGGGAGGAAGAACTCAGTGAAACCAAACAGCCTTAGAATAAAGAATATCAAACTAAAAGTTTGCCAAAATTTACATATTCTTAATGTCCTCCATTTTCTTGTAGTAAAAGTGTAAATCTCAGGGGATTCCAACCAGACTCAATAAAAATTTGTATTAATAATTTAAAAAGTTAACTGGTTAGAAGAAACAGAAGTTATTGGCCCAGAGACTGGAGTTATATATATTAGCCATTTTATAACATGGCTTTTCTCATACTTTGGGCAGGATAAAATGTCCCAGCAAGATATGTTTGCTTTTGACCTTCAAAGAAGAAATATGATTTTAAGCCTTTTCAATAGGAGAAATGCCTCAAAGCAAAAAGAAATGTGCTATGCTGAGAGTAGAATTTTTTTCAGTGGTGGGAATGGGATGCCCTTGAAACTCTCACCTTTATTTTCTACACTACAAGCATTCAACTACCATAACAATTAGGGCCTTTGGAGAAGCCATAAAATCTCCTTACCGAAAGGCACATTAATTCTTCCAGGTGTCATTAAGTCAATTACTGGCCCAAAACATTTTAAGGTGCCTTTGAGGCCTGAACGAATATGTGCTTTTCCCAAAGAAAGACTAGATTGCTGATGGTTGGCCCGCCTGCCCTTCTTCCCAGCAAATCAGGACTCATATTTAATTCCAGGAGTTTTGTGTCTATCAATGCTGAGAACCAGCTTTTGCTGATTTTCAACTATGTGCTTTGTATATGGGCTTGATACAACTGAAGGGTTGTAATAGCTCTGAAGGGATCCTAAGATTAGACCAGTGTTGCTCAATCCTTTTCCCATCATTGTTCTCACAGGGATGTCAACATCCAAACCTGCAAAGTTTATTGAATCAAACTGGCAACATATTCTGGGAGGCAAGGTCTCAAATGCTCCAGGGAATGATAGTTTCACAGCCTCTTTTATGCACTTGAAATAAGCAAGATTACAGGGAGGTGGGATCAAGATCAGATCACAGGGCAGCTAAGATTATGTGTTCTCTTTTTTGTTGTTTCTTTTTAATATATTTTATTGATTATGCCATTACAGTTGTCCTATTTCCCCCCTTCATTCCCCTCCACCCTGCACACCTCCTCCCCCACCATTCTCCCCCCTTTAGTTTATGCCCACGTGTCTCAACTCCTTTAGATCCTATATTTCCCATACTATTCTTGCCCTCTCCCCTTATCTATTTTCTACCCACTGTCTATGTTACTTATTCTCTGTACCTTCTCCTCCTCCCACTCCCCTGTTGCTAACCCTCCATATGATCTTCATTTCTATGGTTCTACTCCTGATCTAGCTGTCCTCTTGGTTTGCTTTTTTTTAGGTGTGGTTGTTAACAACCGTGAGTTTACTGTCCTTTCACTGTTCATATTTTTTATCTTCTTTTTCTTAGATAAGTCCCTTCAATATTTCATATAATAAGGGCTTGGTGATGATGAACTCCTTGAATTTGGTCTTATCTGAGAAGCACTTTATCTGCCCTTCCATTCTAAATGAAAGTTTTGCTGGATAGAGCAATCTTGGTTGTAGGTCTTTGGATTTCATGACTTGGAATACTTCTTTCCAGTGCCTTCTTGCCTGGAAGGTCTCTTTTGAGAAATCCACTGACAGTCTGATGGGAGTTGACAGTCTGATGGTGATTGTCCCCTTATCTCTTGCTGCTTCTAGGATTCTCTCCTTCATTTTAATCTTGGCTAATGTAATGATGATGTGCTTTGGTGTGTTCCTTCTTGGGTCCAACTTCTTTGGGACTCTCTGAGCTTCCTGGATTTCCTGGAAGTCTATTGCCTTTGCCAGATTGGGGAAGTTCTCCTTTATTATTTGTTCAAATAAGTTTTCCACTCATTGGCTGTGCCTCTTCCCCTTCTGGTACCCCTATAATTCAGATGTTGGAACGTTTAAAGATGTCCTGGAGGTTCCTAAGCCTCTCCTTATTTTTTCGAATTCTTGTTTCTTCATTCTTTTCTGTTTGGTGATTTTTTCCTTCCTTCTGGTCCACTCCTTTGATTTGAGTCCCAGTTTCCTTTCCATTACTATTGGTTTCTTGTGCATTTCCATTAATTTCACTTAGTGTAGCCTTCATATGTTTCTCTAATTTGTGACTAAAATCAACCAGTTCTGTGAGCATCCTGATCACCTGTTTTGAACTGTGCATCTGATAGGTTGGCTATTTCTTGGTCGCTGAGAGTTATTGGCTCTGGAGCTTTGAGTTCTTCTTGAGCCATGTTTTGGTCTGTTTGTGCCTGAGATTATGTGTTCTCTTAAGGGGTCTAAAAGGGTGACCAGGTATCAGTAGGAAAGGTCAGAAAGTGGGCATTTCAAAGCTGTGTTGCCTGGATGCATGGAAACGATGGGA